ATGGCCTTGCATGCATTTGTTTCTGATATAAAACTAACAAATGTTAGATAAAGAAAATAATTTATCAATTTCAAAAAAAGAGATTATGTAAGAAATCCAATCTTGAAACAATACTTTTTCTGCTCTTGCAATCCATCCCAGTGATTGGTTCTATACTTCTTTAAGTTTCATTGATTTTAATCCAAATGCTTTTACTATCAATGTTTGTCATATATATATATATATATATATATATATATATATATATATATATATATATATATATATATATATATATATATATATATATATATATATATATATATATATAGTTGTGGGGTTCATGTTATAATTGGTTAGCATAAAGGTTTCATGCAGATCATTGTTGTTTCTTGTGGAGCGATGCATTGAAAATGTCTTAAGCATTGATACTTTATAAATAAACAACAAAGATCCATTTATAGATAAAACTATGTTACTTTTCTCCTCAGATTTTTATGAATATCAAGGTAATAGGTTATTTATTTTTTAAATTAAAAAGAAAATAAAAGAAGGACTTTCCCCCTCGGTTGTCAGCTCACTCGAATGAACAAATTACTTCTATTGCAAATCTAAAAAGAAAATGGTGATCACTTACAACTTCTTGTCATCCACCATTTTTTTTGGGTTGCAATATCTTTTTAGTATGATTAGGAATAGGTTTCTCAATGTAGTTAATCAAGGAAAGAATTAAGTCATTTAATTTTTGTCTTGAATGACAATATGGAAAAGTTATTCCCAAATATAACAATGGATTGCAAGATGTGGAATCAACAAAAGCAACGCCAATCTGTGACATATATTGCAAGAGCAAAAAAAATATTTTGTTCAAGGTTGAAAAATTAGTTTCTTCAATGCATGGTTGTAAGAACAACGACGTCAATCTTTGACATAGATTGCAAGAGCAAAAAAATATTTTATTTATGGTTGATAAAATTAGTTTCTTCAATGCATGGTTGTAACAACAACAATAACTAACAACCTTCAAAGATTCTCCAAATAATTAAGAAACCATAAAAGATTTTTGTGTCTCACAATCCACCATAGAAAATTGTCTTTACGAGTTTGAAGTGACAACAAATGAGTTAGGTTTGGGCAAAAATGAATGAACGAATACTTTTTTTATAAACAAAATTGGATAATCATCCCCCTTGGTTGATAGTCTAATGGAAGAAATTGATGACTTAATATTTACATAAATAATAAAATTAAAAGAATGACGCTATTATAAAAGATATAAATATATAAACAACAGTTGTTGGGATATTCGATGTGAGTCTCTTAAATAGTTTTTCCCTCGATTATTTATATCAAGGAAAATTGTGACCTTCCCAGGGTTTATACCTCACTTTTTATTGGGTGAGGTGAAAACTTTCATAAAGTGTATTATTTGTAGTAATGTCAACACTCCCATATGTTTGTTTCACGCTTTCAATACAAAGATCCCACAATTGGAGTCTCTCTTTGCAATTTTTGGGTTTAACTACGTTCCTGTTTCATCACACTCCATAAGTAAAATTTTTTGAAGGAGAAAAAAGGAATAAAGAAAATGAAAGGAGGCAATACAAGTACCATAGAGTTGTAAGAGGGTACTGAGCTTACTACATGGATGATGAAATGAATAAGACAAATGTTGCACAAAGTAAAAACAATGAAGATATTCGACCATTTATCCTTAATATATATAAGCAGAACATAAGAAAAATCAGTTAGATTTCTCACGCCAACACTCACCATGTATTTTCGAAAGATCAATGGGTTGACTTCTAAAAACGTGAACAATCAAATGTTTATATCGAGTACTTATATGAATGTGATTCATTTGACCCCGGAACACAAACCAACGTAAGGCGTATCATCACTAGGTAACATCGCCTCCTCGGCCACTTTGCCTCTCCGAGTCTCATGGTTGAGGGCTATGTATTGACCTATTTTGTTAAAACTACTTTCCCCATGATGAGGGTGGATTGTCATGAAAATTGAATTCCAAGGTTCACATGTTACAACAATCTCGACTTAAGATACATGAAAGTGTTAGAAAAAGATTTGTTCATTCCCTTAAAAGGTTTTGATGATAACAAAGTGTTTAAAGAACAATAGGGTTTACTAATGGTTATTCAAGGGTGTGGAATTAAAAGACATTAACCTTGATATAAATCAAATTAATAACTCTAAGAATCATTAAAGGGAAGAAAAAATGTTCTGAATCTAAATGATCAGAACCATGATTTCAAACTCTGAAGAGTCAACTCAAGTTTTTCAGATGTTGAACCTAAGCTTACTTGGAATACAAAGATCAACTCATCTTTGAAGACTAAAATCATTTAAAGCAAGCAGACTCTGTTACAAGGAACAACTTTGCATCTTCTGAAAAAGCTTCATCAACAATTTTGAAGATACTTCTTCAAAGGATTTTGTCTACATCAAGTCATCGACTGTGAAAGCATACATCCAGACTAGTTCTGATCAAGACTCTGATGAAGGCAAGACTCAGAACCTTTGAACTCAAGACTTTGAAGACTCATTCCGACCAGGTTCTGAAGACATACTTTAGCTTCTGATCATGCTTTAACTACTTATATAAAAAGCCTCTGAATCAGAAAGCTAAGTATAAGGATAATAAAACTATGATAAAGCTTCAACAAATGTCTACAAGAAGCTCCAGTAAGAAGTTATCCAAAGGAAGATCACGTGACAATGGTACACTACTTTATGTCAAATCTAGTGATAGTGGCATTTTCAGGATCTTCTCTCTCTAACTATTCAGAACTCAACTCTACTACTCTTAACGTCTTTATGCTAGTTAAGTTTTAGCCCACTCTATTGTCCATTAGCTAAAGACATTTAACAACTATCTCTAATATGGTAGTCTCAATCTTCAACGAATCTATTCTCATTATCTATTTAAGGATGAAGATTGAAAATATTTAGTGTTGTTCGAAGAAGAAATATTATTGGAACATCTTTGTAAGATGAACCTCTACATCTCAAGAAGAATGAATATGAGTTGAAGATTTTGTGACTGTGTTTTCATGGATTTGATACCAATTCACTGAACAAGTTAAGAGAATTTGTGTTTTACAGAAAACACATATGAGAAACACACTTCAAAAGATACATAACCAGAAGGGTTAAGTGTGTTAGAGTAGAGTGAGAAATGTTCACATACATTCTAAAGAAAGAATATGTGAACATGATCAAGAACAAGAAGGCACAACAAGATGGAAATATGTGCAAGGAGAGAAGAAGAATGAAACCTTCATTCTTCTACACTCAGGATCAAACAACTCAAATATGCTCAAGAGTGTAAGCCTTTGTATATCTGCTTATCCAAGAAGCACTTATATGAACACAAGGTTAATACCAAATTCCTCTGTTATGAAGATATGAAGACTCTAGCCACTATGCTTATAGTAAAGTCTCTTTCCATGTGATTGAGCACTTGAAGTATCTTTCTTGCGAGTAAAGCAGGAAGTTCTGAACTGGATGTTTAGGCAAGGAAGTCTCATGCTTGCGGACAGACAAGAAGTCCTGAACGAGAAGTTTAGGAAAGGAAGTCTCATGCTTGAGAGCTTGAGCAGGAAGTCCATAACGAGTAGTTTAAGCAAGGAAGTCTCTTGCTTGCGGGTTTGAGCATAATTATCTTTTTGTGAGAATGAGTAGGAAGTCCTGAGCTGTTGGCTTAAGCAATTGTAATCAGTTTGATTATATTTAAAAGCTTTTATGCTGCAAGGGGACTAAACTACTCTCATTTTGGGAGAGGAAGCAGGATATCTTGTGTATCTCTTTATTTACTTATGCATTTATATTCTACTGTGCAAACAAACTCTAAAGTCACACTCTGATCTAATTTAGACTCTTACTTGGATCAAAATCTGAGCTTGACACCTTAGCTTCTGAAACAGGATTAAGAAAAAAAGGTAAAGTTTTCACTGTTGATATTCATTCTGCTATCAGACTCTGAACGTGGTTCAAAATCTGATGTATCAAAATTCAAAGTGAAAAGAGTTTCATATTTTGACATACACAACTCAACCCCTCTTCTTGTGTATTTTTCTCACCTTAAAATAAAAATCTTAAATCAGAGAAAATGAAATCTTCACGTGGTCAACACATGAGCAAGATGAACATGTCACATTACTTTCTCAGAAAAAGGTCACCACCTTAATCAGACTAACTAAACTTGAGGTAAATGCAAAGATAATACAAGTTTCATTAGGTCTAAAAAAAACGATATAATATAAAGTTAAGGCAAATTATCATTTTTTACAAAAAGTTGATTAAAGGTCTCTCGCTTGACATATTACTAATAGAGTCACAACTATCATTCTCATATCAAATACATGTATAAAAAAACAAATTAAAAGAATTAAAAGATGATAAATTCATAAACATTTAATAAAATAATAATTATATAATTAATAATAACAACATAATGATTTATAATTTCATATATTTTTTTAAAGAGAAATGGGTGATGCAGTGATAGTATAAAAAAATTTATATTATCAACTAATCACGATCGTAAATTCTGTCAAATTAGACAGTAATTTTTTAAAAATTTATATGACATGTTAAAATAATATATTTTTATTGAATTACAATGTAAAATTTTTTTATAGTATAGTGTATTTTTTTTTAATTTTAATTTTTTTTAACAAAAGTCTCTAATAAAAAACAGATAGAGTAATATTTTAAATAAAAAAAAGATGAAATTCACAATTTCAAAGATAGATAAATATTCTATATTTAGTTCAAAGTTAACATTTCCTTTATTGTATCCTCCTACAAAGCTTATTCTATATTGAAGTTAGTAACTTTATCATGCGAAGATTGCTACTATTTTGGTAATTTTATCTCATCACTGCACATCGTTCGTAGGGGTAGATTCAGATCTCGGCAAAGTCAAGTCAATCTGATAATCGTCATCAGATTCAGATTTGAGATTGAAATCGCAACAGCGCATTGTGGATCTGGACTCGATGAGCACGCCTTCTCTTCCAGTCTCACAGTCACAGGTATGTATCTCGTTCCTTTAGGATCATAATCGAGTATTCAGAATGTAATTATGCATATTGATTTTGATTCGGGTTGATTTGAATTGAATTTCAGGGCACAAGAACGTTATCGTCTGTGTCGGTGTCTGGATTCACTCGACTCTGCAAAGGTCTTGCTCTGGTCCTCGTTGCGGCGCACCTTGTTCTCAATTTCTTCCCTTCTGCTATCACCTACGTCGCCCTCATTCCCGCCAGGTTTTTACCCCTTCTTTCCCTTTCTCACGTTCTAATTTAATTTCATATGTTTTCCTTTTCCCTGTACTTTAGCCACTTTATTTATACGTTTTCATTGCCGTTATTTCAACATTATTAAATTTATTTGACAAACATGGGTAAAAATCAAGTGACTGTAAAATACTGTGCTTAACTTAGGTATAAGCATTAACAACCTAGGGGGTTGGCCTAGCACGGTGAAGGCTGGATCCTGAGAGGGTGCTCCTCTAAAGGTCTTAGGTTCGAATTCCGCTAGAAGCTAACAATTCCTGTGTTTGGGTCTTACGAGCTTTGCCCCCGCAAGTGGACGATGGGATTGGTCCCTTTGGCTTTAAATGGGACTCCACAAGTGGACGGTGGGATTGGTTCCTTTGGATTAGCAGGTCATAAGGCCGGATACCAAGATTTCAAAAAAAAAAATATAAGCTTTAACATTACATAGAGAGCACAACCCACTCCTGCCGTGTGGAGTCTCTGGGCTGCACTTGGGCTATGACAATTTTTTCGACTTGTGGTGGTCCTCTCTGGGTTGTTTGATTGTTGTATTGTTTGTTAATTGTTGGTGTTATTCTGGCCGACCTTTGGTGGCTTGGATTGCAATAACTCTTATACTACTTACTTAACAGTACCAATGCTTTAAAATCAATTGGTGATCGAACCATCCACTTGGACTAGTCGGCGTAAGGCTGGATACCAAGATTTCAACAAAAAAAAGTATAAGCGTTAACATTACATGGAGATCACAACCCACTCCTGCTGTGTGGAGATCGGCGATTGAACCGGTTGAACCCACCATCGGAATCTATGGCTCATTATTTCAACAGTTCAGCCGCGAATTTGAGTTTCGGTTTCGGTCTGAGCGGTTTAAAACAACTGAACCATGACCCTGAAGTCTAGCCAATTTGAATTCTGGTTCGGTTCTAAAAGCGTTGCTTAATACGATTTGTATTGATATAAAAGAAAATATTCATTCATTTCTCTTCATAATGTTATTTGATGTATGGTAATTTCATGCTTTAGAATATACTCCTAAAAGGTACAAGTTCAGTTGCTTTGGAATTTATTTTTCTGTTGGTTTCATTTTGCAGGACAATACCATTTGCATGGAACCTCATTACAGCTGGTTACGTTGAACAAACTGTGCATGGGGTATGATTTGCTGTTCTATGAATCTATTTTACAACATTCATTGCATTTTCTGAGATAAATATGTTGATTCAAGGAGAACTTCTCAATTAATGTTAGTATGTTTTTATAGGTTGTTATCAGCGTAGTTTGCCTTCTATTCATTGGCAAGCTGCTCGAACCAGTATGGGGTCCCAGGGAATTTCTAAAGTTCATCTTTATTGTTAACACCTTAACTTCTGTGTGCATTTTCATCACTGCTATTGCTTTATACTACATTACAAGACAGGAGATTTATCTGTAAGTGTTTCAAATCCATTACCTTGAGATTATATTTTATGTTTGTTGCTTGTGCTGTTATCTATCTTATCTTCTCCCCCAACCCCTACCCCATTTATTAGATTACCCTCTTTCCCAAACCTTACACTACCATTTGAAACTCTTTTATTTATATATTTGAAGCTTTGATAACTGGGATTCTTTTTTTGCCTCAACAATAGAAAACTTTGACGGTGCAATTTTTATGAAGCAAAGTTTAAGTATTGAAAATTTGAAACAGGTCTTGAAATTAGTTTTATTGTATGCTATATTTTAAAATCATATTAGATGCTATGCGTGTCAATTGTACATTAATCCAAGTTGTTTTTCTCTTTTTAACTTTTGCAATATTCTAGATATACACCACTTTCTGGATTTCATGGAGTTATATCAGGCTTCTTGGTTAGCATCAAGCAAATTATACCAGATCAAGAGATTCCTTTCCTTAAGATAAAAATGAAGGTTTGATGTTCTCACCTTATTCCTTAACTTGTAATTGCTTAGTTTACTTTCCAACATCAAGAGGTTTATGAGGAGGACCTAAATATGGTGCGACTTTCATTTTCTGTTCAGTGGCTAGCTTCTATCAGTTTATTATGTTATATTGCTCTGAGCTTCTGGATAATAGAGGCAACAACATATCTCCCAACTGTTATATTTGGTACATATATGAGCTGGATTTACCTGAGATACTGGCAGAGGAAGCCGGAAACAAAGCTTAAGGGTGACCCAAGTGAGGATTTTGCATTCTCTACATTTTTCCCAGAGTTTTTAAGGTAAGTTATGATTTTGGTTTGCTTGTCATATATTATGAACTACAAATAATTCCTTCAGTCTTTCTGAGCAACTTCTACTTTTTTATATCTGTTGCCTTGTAGACCGGTAATAGATCCTATTGCGTCAATATTTCATCGATTGCTCTGTGGAAGATCTGATGCTTCTGATGATGCTGAAGATTTCAATCTTGGAAGTGAACCATTGCCAGGTTCTGACCCCATTGAGGCATCAAGGAGACGGTAATTTCCCTTTTCTGTGCTTGTAATTCACCTAGTTTAGTATGTAGTAAATCATAAATTACCAGTGTGGCAATTCATTAGGAGAGACAATTAGATAGATAAACAATAGAAGTTGCAGGTCTGAAACTACTATTTAGCTATGATGTTGTATGGTTTCAGCTAAAGAAAGGAGAAAAAGTTGTTGACAAATGTTACAAGTTTTGCCTTCTTTTGTTATTTAATCGAGCTTTATTTTCGTAACCTGGAAAAATAACATCTGCCATAGCATTGAAGTATAATGCATTAAACAACTCACCATTGTGATTCCTTTTCTCTTGTAGAGAAAGAGGTGCCAGAGCACTGGAAGAAAGGTTGGCGAACGAGAGGTTGGCTACTTCACGGAGTGCAGGGGAGTTGCATACAAGTGCTGCAGGAAGTGTATAATGCCCTAGATTTTGTAAATTCTGATAAGTTCGGCCAAAATGAAATCATCATGAGCGACATTATTACAGTTGGTATAGAAATGAGATTTTTTTTTAATGACTTAAAGAAAGCTTTTGATTTGAATTTGTCTTTGGACTGTGATCTTCATAAGAGTGAAGTTTGTCTTCCTTGTGTCATATAATTGAGCTATCAAATATATTTGATTATGCAACTGCATTGAAGGTTTAGAACATGTCAATTGTTCAAATACTGGACATGAAGATATATCTGTTGTTAGTTCTTTCTTCAAATAATTAAAAAAAAAGTCTTTTAATGGTTATCCAAAAAGTAAGTTCATAGGCCCTAAAGATACTCTGCTATCTTATCAAGTTGTTTTATTTTCTGGCATGCAAGAGGAAATGGGATGTAAAAGATTTAGAGGAATCCTCTTTCCGCCTAAAGGGGAGTGCTCTTCATCTCTCGAATCCGAAATTGTTCTTAATGTGTTTGGAGGTGTCTCAAAATCACACAAATCTTTGTTTTTTGATATCGACTCTATTTTGAACAAACTATGGTCTATAGATGCATCTTTGTATGTTATTTGTGTGTATTCGGAGATATCTCTGAAATGTCTAACGTATCCAATTGTTTTGTTTTCATTCACTAAATTTTATATATTTTGAGGCACACATTTTTTTGCCATTTTAGGCCATTTTAGATCATTTTAGACCATGAAGACCATGAATTATAAGAAAAACGCATACATTAATTAATTTAAGAGTCAAATATATTTTTGGTCCCTATAAATATCTCACATTTCATTTTTAGTTTTTATATATAAAATTACATATTTTAATCCCTATAAAGATTTTATACATTGAGTTTTAGTCCTTGTTATTTTTAAAAATTTTAAAAATTATTTAATTACCTCTAAACTTTTAAATAATTTTTTTCACACGTGTTCAGATTAATATAAATATTTCTTTATCAAATTATATAACTTTTTAAAATAAAAAGAATTAAATATGGACTTTTTAAAATTTAAAAAATAATGATAAAAATAATGAAAATCTAAGCTTATAAATCAAATTTTGAGTTATTTTTTTTTCAAAAAACTTTTTATAATGTTCTAAACATATCTGCAAAATAATCATTTAAAAATACACATTGATTTAACGGTAGAGACTAAAACTACGTGCATAACTATTTTGTAAGAATCAAAACACACTATATTTTTTATAGAAATAAAAAATAAATTTTGGTAATTTTATAGGAACCAAAAACATATTTAATCATTGATTCAAACATGGTACAAAAGTCATACAATTATCAAATGTACCAACCTTTTATATAGTACACAATTATGAAAAAAGTCATACAATTATCAAACATTGATTCAAACATTGATTCAAATATAGTACACAATTATGAAAAAAGTCATACAATTATCAAATGTACCAATCATATATAAGTTGTTATGAAAATACAAAAATAATAAAACTAAACAAAAACCTATTGGATATGTCTAACTTCCTACCTTCTCATTCTACCGTACTACAAGACATTTTGTGCCTCGATAATCATGCCTTCTACGAGGGCCAATTGAGAGATGTCTAACCTCCTTGCAGCAAATAAAGTAGAATGTAGTGAGAAGTTGGTTGGAGAGAAGCTTGAATGGCTGAGGAAGAGTATCAGTTGTTTTGTTTTCTAAGGTTTAATGAATTTTGAGACAAATGAAGGAGGAAGAGAGAAAGTTCTAAAGCATATTGTATTCATCCCGTTCAGAGATGCATCTTCATACCACCTACTAAATTTTAAATTAATGACATTCACAAAGATTTATCTTCGAAATAACCTCATACACATACGAAAATGCATCTCCAAATTAAGATTTGGCTAAACAAGAACTTCTCATCAATTTGCATCGAGAAGTGTGAAAAAAGGTCCTGACACTAGAGACAATTGTACCTTTTTTTGATGGTGGGAGAATGGTGGAAAGAGTAATCCCCAAGATTTAATGCAAGGTGAAAGGGAAAAAATAAGGGAAGTGACTCAATGAGTCTAAACTATAAAGACCCTTGTGACAGTTACAAAATCATCTTTTATTGGTAGATCACTTGTATAAGGATGTTATAGTTAAATACTCCACAACTTTGGCCTTTAGCATGCTCGTTCATAATTTTCAAAACCAAATAACAATTAAAATGTGGCATTATAAAGAGTGAATGAGTGATAAAGAGGTCGAAGATTCATCGTCTTCCATCTCTAGTATAAAAACGTAAAATACTAATATTTGTTGTCTAAAAAGAAATGACATTGAAGCTTGTGTTATACTACCAACTAACTATAATATCATCTTTCTCATATCTATAATGGTTTGGTATTTCGACTCTTAGTTGTATATAATTACACCTACAAAGATGGCTATATTTGAAACTGAACTACCAAATATTGTTTAAATTATTTCGTCTTTATATGTCTCGTGTTTCGTATTTAAGAGAATGTGTATCGATATAATTGTATGACTCAAATTTGTCTTGAATCAATAGAATCCGGCCCATCTGCTCTAGAGCACGTTAAACCCTCAACGAGTGCTTGAGCTAAAGCTAACATGGGCAAAGTGAATTCGACTAAGAGTCATATTGACTAACTCGTCACGATATGATGAGAGGACTGAAGTTTCATTGCCTCTGTCTCCCATGGTTTTATGCTTTCATTGCTTGTATTTTAATTTTTTGTTTTGTTTTTATCGTTATCGAGTACCCTCACTTAATTGTGAATCTTAGGGTTGAATTTTAAATCGACTTTTACCTATACATAAATCAGACCATTTGAATATGGTATAAGCAATATGCTTCTAAGTCAATTTATCAAGGTTTTAGATCAAAAATCAATTTTAAGAATAGTTCAAGTCATGACAATGTTGGAATTTGAAAAACACTTTATATTTTTAAAAAAATTGAAATTCTGAAGTGTGATTCAAATTAGACACAAATTGTACATTTTTTATTTTGGTTATATAAGTTTTACTCAAATAACATAATTTTATGACTTGAATCACAAAAAGTGTGGCTCAAATCACATGATTAGTTTTTGTTAGTTATTAGATCTTAAATCAAATCACTTCATTTCTTGACTTAAATCATACTTTTGGTTATGACTCAAATAAAACATCATTTTTATTTCATTTTGTGCTAGATCTCTAACACATATAAAATTATTTTTCTCAAAGTCCATTTCACAATGTTGAAAACACACACATCCACTTTTAATTTGAAATTCACAACACACTTTGATCAAGAACAAAAAGGAATTAATAATAATATGTTTATTGTGTCATAATCTCTCCAATATTTGTTGAATTTGGTTTTCATCTTCTTTTTTCATTTTTTTTTATGGGCTCATTGTCATTTTTAAATGCTTATTGATTCTTTTTTCAATGTGAATACCTCTACCCTATATAAAGCACTAGTGACATATAATGATTCAGACAAACAATTTGTAGAATTATAAAATATCTAAAATAAGGAAAGCACTAATGCAACATATGTCTAATCCTCTTTCTCAAATCTCATTTGTTTTTCCATTTCATCACCAAATGTGTCATTCCATACATAGCACAAGTAAAATACTTTTTGATATTATAAGAGCAACTTTACGCAGAGTTGTTAAACCAAAATTCTTTATAGCTTACGTTAGTAATAAGAAATTTGCATTATAAGAGAGTTGACATGACATCCAAATGAACTAAAATTTAGTTCCCATTATCTATATAGTTAACGTTAACTATGTTAAACCTATTATAATATTATTTAATATTAATAAAATATTCTAAATATTCCAACAACATTAAAGTAAGGATATGATATTTGAAAATAGTAACGGTCATATTATCATTTTTTACCTTCTATAAATTCTATAGAAATTTTAATTTTTTTTACACACAGTTTTATTTCTAAATTTTTTTCTTTCAATTTCCAATCTTATTTATTTATCAAATGAATCCCAACCAATCGAATCCTTATTATAATTATATTTCTATGAAAATGTAATTTTTTTATGTATTATTGTTGTGAATTTTGTATCATTTTTAATTTTATAATAAAATATATTTAATATTATTTTAAGTTTTTAAGGTAAATTTTATTTAAAAAATTATATGTATTTTAATTAAAATAATTAAATTAATGATAATTTGAATAAAATATATAAAATGTGGGGTCAAGTTTTGGTTTCTTATAGACAACCACCATTAAAGTAAAAACTACTCAAATCAACTATAAATTTTTTAAATCCTACAAATCACTTTGGACCCACAAAAAGTATCTTAGTTTACTCATTTAATTTACTCCCACTAAAAATGCTCTAAGGCAATATTTAACATTGAATAAGTTGACTTCCATGTGATTTCAACATCAAGAATAACAACACCTTTGCATGTAACTTTTTCTTGCACTACACATTTCATAAATTTGGCCAATCAATTTGGAGAAGATTTGACATATTTAACCGTATGACATTATCAGAATGCAATTGATATTTTTTTCCATTAAGATGTCGTGGTGACAATATAGCTTCATCATGAAAGTTAATTGAGATTTTAAGATCTATACTTTATATTTTCCGGTGTCTATTTAATTAAATTTTTTTATAGAATAATTATAACTAAAATCAAACCACAAGTGTTTTATGAAGTGTTTATAAAATCTAAAAATGAATTTGATATATAAGAAAACTAATCACCAATTAAATAGATAATAAAAAAAGATGAAGATCTAAAAGAAGTAGCTTGAAACCAATTAATAAATATTGGGCTACTCTCCCTGTTAGTACCACAAACTTTAACAGCTCCTACTTCATCAACTATGCTCAAGGCATTACCCAACAATGAGTTACTAGATTAAATTATCAGTGTTATCAATGGCAGGTCATGGCAGCGAGTCAAAATCCAACCCGTATATCTGCACAAAAAAGCACCAATAATATCTGCCATGGCCGATATTTGACAACACAGGGCATGTAATATTATTAACACTCTATGACCAAGACTTTCTAAGATGATAGCCTTCCTTAGCATAAAAGTACTATTCCAGAAGCAAACGTGCAAACTGGAGCTACATCTCTTGCACACTCATTTCATTCTATCTCTTCGGTAACAATTTTTCATGAATAGGAGGAACTAATTAACGTGTTTCAAATGAAGAATCTATGAAATAAACTGAATAATATAATAAAGTTCAGCCGGTAGGAACTTTCTTTCTGTTTCTTACTATTCTCATTCCTAGAACACCTGGAAAAGATTTCCCTGATATTTCAAAATGTCTGTTGAAGGAGGTCTTTGGCACAACAGTTGGAGTAGCTACTGTGCAACTAAAAGGTTGCAAGTTTGTTTATGAAATTAATATCTTGTAATGCAAAGTATGGCTATCGATAATAAATCGACTAAAGGGTTCAGTTTACTAACCAAATAAAATGATTCGGTTATTTAAATTTTAATTCGGTTTGATTTGATGGTTCGTTTTGATCAAATTTACTAACCAAATAAAATGATTCGATTATTTAAATTTTAATTCGGTATGATTTGATGGTTCGTTTTGGTTAGATTTACTAACCAAATAAAATGATTCGATTATTTAAATTTTAATTCGGTATGATTTGATGGTTCGTTTTGATTAGTGGATATTTTGAATTTACTAACCAAATAAAATGATTCGATTATTTAAATTTTAATTCGGTATGATTTGATGGTTTGTTTTGATTAGTGGATATTTTGAACAATACTACCGGAGTAGGTAAAAGAAATATACTGGTGTAAGCCACATAATCTCAGTGACTGAATTGTTTTGCACCTTTCAAAGAAATTATTTTACACCTTTTATACAGTCATCAGAAGACTTTATGAGAATTAATGTAGTTTCATATTACAATAGCAAAGTATCATAAAAAAAATGGGCATATGTATAGACTGCAGAAAATTTCTTTTAACAAATGTTTTTACAACTAAAGTCCGAAAAATAATTGGTCTTGCTTTAGAATTGCATCAATCAACTTTCAGGTGCTTCTCCAGCTAAATACTGTTTGTGGACCATTCTCTTAAAATCTGCATGATAAATTGCATAAGTAGCATAATAGAAACGGGTATCTATGGTGAATGAAATAAAGAAAAGAAAACAGAAATACAGAACAATCCTTTGCAGAATTTGTCTAGAACAGCAAAACCACTCAAAACTATTATTCCATATTCAGTTTTTCTTATCTTTTCCCTACTTAAAGTAATTGGAAATTGAAGTAAAGATCAAATGAAGTAAACCTTCAAAACAAATGAGCAATAACAACAAATAGTTCGAGGTTTAAATAGTTAGTAACTCAGAAAACACATGTGCTTTACAATGGAAAAAAAATTCTAACCTTCCTTATCATTCCAAAGCTCTGCAGCGTAACTATTTAGAGGACTCTCAAGGTTAGGCTCTGTTGTTCGAAAAAATTGATCAGACAAGCACATAAAGGTGACTGCAAAACTCATAAAATAAATGAAGAACAAACCTTCCAATAGACTTTGAATAGACAGAAGAATAGTTCTACAGTCATATGCTGAAGACCACTTGTCCTATAAAAACACATAGGAAAGAAGTTATTATTTCATCCACTTCTACTAATTCTAGGCAGCCATAGTACAAATAATTGGTAGATCCAAATCGATGACCACGCAGGTAATGGAAAATTTGGCTCTATTCTATGCTCTTTTGTTGTCCAATTTCATGAATACCTGAAGGATGTCCAGACATATGTTGCCAAACTGGTCAACATTTGGATGAAAGCACATTGTGTCAAACTTTACTTGGGGTGGTTTAAAAGGATAGTCCATGGGAAAACGCAAGGAGAGTTTATAAGATAAACCTTCATACAGAGTTCCTTTTCCACCTTCAATAGTGCCAACCCAAGTAAAAATACTCTCCGCAACAGGAAAAGCAGATACTCCGAGATCTCCTCCACTCATCTGCAACAAAAGTAACACATCTTACAATGAAATTAACCCTTATTCTCATTTTTGTAAGACTTCACAAGTCCAAACATCTGCTGTCAGAAGCTAATATTATACACAACACGTGCAACATCATAAACATAAACTTGACAATAAACATAAACATAAACTTGACAATAAATCCTACAAAATAAATAAAATTATTCGCTGTAATTTGTAAACAGTATGCCGTGACTACTGATTACACCAAAGAAACATAGAATAGTAATAAAAAATAATTACCTAACAACATTAGAAGTCTCAATTCACATTCTTTATCCTATCCACACCATAGAGTGAAAAGGTGTCTAGATTCATACAATGAGAGGAAACTTGAAATGATACAACAAAAACTAGAATGATTGCATTCCATAGAAACACCATTGGAGAAAGCATAAGGAAACACAAATAGGGTGTCGCTATACATAGTAATTCCAAGGGTTTAGCAAAATCAACACACCATGAAGTAACATAAATCTACATCTATCTATATTCGTCACAATCTTCAAGTCTTTAATTTCTGTGAAGGTGTAACTCTTAAAAGCATAAGTTTTGGCATTCAAACACAAGAACTTATACATGCTACATCTTCTCCACAGAATTAAGAAAATGACAATGACAATGAGGATGATTAAAGCAAAGAGGGACATACCATGAGAGCCATTAACTCCTTCTGTAATCTGCAATTAAATGAAAAAAAGAACAAATAAAACCATCAAATCAAAAGCTATACATATGAAAAACTTCAAATTCAACCCTATCAAAATTCATACATGGATCGTGAAAATTCTAATACAAATTTACAAATCAAAACCTAAAAGTTTGTTGCCATAACAGTATATCACTACATAATGGAAAACCAATTTAGAAATTTTTAGGGGAACAAAGAAGTGGTAAATGAAGAGAGATTAACCTCTGAGAAACGGATGATGTGTCAACGGGAAGAGGAGAAGCGAGAGGCTTCTTGGACGACGCGGCGGATGATCGACGGTGGCGACTGGGCGGCGATTGGTCAGAAGAATTTTCGGCGGTGGGGTTTGATCGGACCTCCATGATAGAAACGAAGATCAAAACGGAGGCCTAATCAGATGAGGCAGAAGATCAACGGCTCAGATTTCAATAAATTGAAAACGAGAGAGAGAGAGAGAGAGAGAGAGAGAGAGAGAGAGAGAGAGAGAGAGAGAGAGAGAGAGATTTTCTATTTTAGAATTTAGGGAGAAAGAGATGGGAATTGGATTTTATTGAATATTGATGAAAAGAATGAATTGGGAATTGAATTTCCAGATTTTTGAGTGCAACTGTTCGTCCTTATCTTTCTTTCCAATTTCATTTTTCACCTTTTTTATTTAATTTAATTAGTTATATTGTTATTAATTTTGTAAAGAATTGAAATATTAAATAATGTGAGTTGTATGAAAAAAATAAAAAATAATGTGAGTGGACAACAAGTTGTTGAGCACTATCATGATTCATGGGTGTTACAGGGTCCACCAGCCGCCAACGACATTGTTTGTGTGGTGGTGATGGAAGTGAGTTGCTGACTCAACATTATTAAGGTGGAGATTTATCTTTATATATATATATATATATATATATATATATATATATATATATATATATATATATATATATATATATATATATATATATATATATATATATATATATATATATATATATATATATATTAAAGAGGTAAAAAAAGTCCCGGTTTATTGGTTATGTTCGTTTTAACCGCACTTTAGTGCAAGACTGATTAAGTGCTTAGACCTAAACCTCTAATGTGTTAGTCTCATTCCGTCCTATTTTCTCTGCGAATTTTGATGTGTACGAGTATTTATATAATTTTTTGCATTTTTAGGCTTAAAAAATACAGTGTTCGCGGGCTTTCCTTGTCCTGCCCTCACTTTTTTTAGGGGACTACGTTTTAGGCACATATCCTTAATTATGTCCGCCACGTTTTTTTTGCACACTTAAACGAGGCGAGCATGCTCGTTTGTCACCCCTAGTTTAAAACAACCCAATAGAAAACCGTTAACCAAATCAAATCGAAACCGCAAAAAATAGCATTTGCTTCAGATGTGTTTGAGTCATATTTTAACAAAACGGTACAGTTTGATTCAGTTGGCGATTTGTATTTTACAAATCAAACCAACCCGCATTATGTTAATATATTTGATATATTTTTAGAAATGACGTATATCCCACAATTAAATGAGAGACTTTCTCATATTGAATCTGATTAATAGACGTGTTCGATAAGATATATAAAGAGTTCTAATGGATGATACTGAGATATCATGATTTTAATGGAAGAGTTTGGTGTTGTTGTGACTGAGTTTTCTACTAGCATGAAGTGTTTTCTTGTTGTTTTGGGAGAAAGTGTTATGTTTTTAAGTTCTAGTATATGATCTAGGTGATATGTGCTTTGTAATACATATTATTATTTTGTTAACTGAGTTCTTTTGTTATTTGATGTTGAAATGATATTGTGACGTTGTTGTAACTTGTACTCTATTGTATGCTCCCTTAGGTTCGGTAGCCATTCTTCTAAAAAGTAAATCTTAAGCATGAAATTAGCTGGAGCTCGTGATACCACTTGGTAGACAATAAGCTTCGATCTAGAGGGGGGAGGGGTGAATAGATCACAAATTTAAAACCAAAAATTTTGGCAAAAATTTGTTTTCAAAAATTTATGGCACAGCGGAAACAACCTGAGTCGAACCGTCTAACCAAACCTACTATCGAAAATCTCGGGTATGCGTAACGTGAAGGTAAATTTTCCTTATCTTTTTCTTATCTCTTGGCTTAGGTTTCATTTCATTTGTATCTTTATTTGTGCATAACATTGTTTCTAGGCAGGGGATCAAGGTATCTTGGTTTGATTCTCAAGAAGAAGAGTGTGATTATCAAAGCTCAAGCAATGGTTTATTCTCAACCTTGTGGTTTTCTCAAGCCCTAAGGTCCTCCCATCATCAAGGCATGTCTCACAACCATTTGAATCAAGGTTACAAGCTTTGATCACCTCCTCATATCTTGTGAATAATTGGATTAGGATTTTGGTCAAAAGGCATATGTGGCTAGTTTCTTGGGTAAGACATGGTTCTATGGCTCCATACACATCTTGATGGTTCTCTACATGAATTATGTCTCATTACAAGTCACGATAAGAGCTTCAATCAATGGATAGGATGTTAGGGTTTCATTTGATCAAGAAAAGTCAACTGTGACTCCATAAGGTCAAAGTCTTGGATTTCAAGGCCAACCAAGGGGGTGCTATGTGTTCTCAGGTGTTTTCATGTGTTTGGAACAAGAAGAATCAAGGAGAAACATAAAATCAAGAGTTTGATTGAATTAGAGTTTTGGTTGAAATATATTCTAAGTGTGGAAAATCCTAATTCTAGCCATTTTGCAACACCCAAAACTTTCTCATCCTTGACCCAAATGGAGCAAACTTGTTATCAAATTAAAGAGGACATCATGAACTACCCGTTTATAGAAGAAAGCAGGTCCAAAAAATCCATATTTTGAGAGATATGGAGAGCTAAAGTTGAGAAAATGAAGGTTTTATCATTTCACACACTTGGAAAATTTTTTAAGTATTGAAATTCAGCTTGAGGTACATGTTTTCAAACCCATCTTTCATGATGATACAAGCTTCAAATGAATTTTCCTCTAACATGAAAGTTGTAGAGCATCCTCCAAGCTTTCTATTCATTACTAGAACTCCTCCATTGGATTAAAACTCTTCAAGTTATGTGGCTTCGAAGTTGAGGTTTCAATGATGTCAAAAGCTTATGACTTAGAATTTTTCTAAGTCACCTTGGGCAGATTTTGAGGCATGACTTTGAACCTCTCTTTCATGATCATCCAAGGCTTATTTCAAGTTGCCATCAACATGAAAATTATTCACCATAGTCTTAGCTTTCCATTGAATACAAGAACTCACCAATTGAGTCAAATTTCACCAAGATATAATGCTTCAAAGATGACTATGCGAGTTTGATTTTAATGCATCATTCTTTCATGAAACTTAAGCATGTCTTGCAACATGATTTACCATCAATTCTACATGCACCAAGATCTCATTTTGCCTTTACCAAACTTTTCCATTTCAAGCCGAATATGTTTCTTTCCATTTGTACCATATTCTTCATCATTTTGGCAAAAGGAGAAATATAAAAACTTGCATGTCAAGATTACCTCTCCACTCTCCTTTTCTGATTTTCTTGCTCTCTCTTTCCACTCTAAAAAAGGACAGCTCATACCACTACCTCACGACCTCACTTGTACCACTTTCATTCTCACTCCTCTCATTTTCAAACTTTCACAAATCACTAGCCATTTTGTTTTCACCATAGTTACTCTCTTTTAACCACACCATGACTCCATATATAAGCTAAAGAAAATCCTAGAAAGATACTACACTTCATTTTGCAGCCACAAAACCCAAAACCCCTCTCTCACTCTCATAATCTCTCCTTCTTCGAACCTATTTTTCTCAAGAGTCTCTCTAAGATTTCTGGCTAGTCTCATCATTGTTGAAGAGCTTTGAGGTGTTTGGCAAGGCTTCCTTCAAGGATCTGAAAGGTTTGAAGAGATAGTGGACCACCTCCACTTAGTAAAATTTCTCATCCTTTATACTCTCTATTCATGTGTGTTTTGAGTCCATTTTTGTTGTATTTGTTATTTTACATCATTGTTGAGTATATCTGAGTGGTTATTGTGTTGTTTTAAATGATTTCAATTTGTGTGACAGTTTTATATTTTCTTCGATTCACCTTGAAAACATGTTTGTTTGTGGAAACTAAGGCCGAATTCTTGATCAACATGAAAATTTGAGTGGAGTAGGTGTCTTTGTTTTCAGTTCTGGGTGTTTTGAGGTGTCTCCGGTCAGAGATGATGATGTGGCCATTGGCAACACTTTTTAAATTCAAATTGATTGAGGTGTTTTGTGTTGGTTGGCCTGTGTGGATAAGTCATTGCCAGCTCAATTAATGAGTTCTTGCGTGGCATGCTGAGTGGTTTTTATGTTGGACTGGGCTTAATTTATTTTTATATTGACACCCCTAGCTTTTGAGCCTAATGCGCGTGTGTACTGAGTTTCAGTTTGTTTCAACTTTACTAATACACCCCCTTCTTGTTCCTTTGGTGTTTTATTTTATTTTTTATTCTATTTTCTTTTTGATTTTTTTACTTTAATTGTTAAAATCATTTTAAAATTACCAAAAATATGTTCCTGATCATTTAACATTTTTATAATTTTATCATATTTTTTATTTTGTTTTTCAATTAATTTTCATATTTTATTTGTGAAGTGGTTTTCCATGTTTACCCTTGAATTATGGTTTGATCATTTGATGCCTTTGCCATGCAATTTTGACCTAATTCTTTTACCATGTTTTGATACTTGATTGAGGATTGTTTAAAGGTTGATTTGATGTTTGGACATGAAATTTTTGATTGATTTTAATTTGGTTTTTAATAGTCCTTGATGCATGCTTGGCTCCTATACTATGCTTGCCTTGATTAGTTGATTTGATGATGCAATTAGTCAATTATTTTTGAGATATTTTGCACATTTGTTATTAATGGATATATCTTGGGTTTGGGACCCTAAATGGATTTTATTTGGACATTTTCCTATTTTTGGATGATGTATCAAGTTGATGTTGTTTTAACCATGATATTGTGCATGTCTTGACCTAGTTTCTTGAAGTTGCTTCTTGGATGATCCAATTGATGCTTGATAAATTTTGTTTTGACTTGTTTAAGGTTCTGACCTTCATGTTTAGAGGTTCATTTCATGATCACCTTGTCTCATTTACTTCAAATGATCATTTGTTTCTCTTTTGGAAAGCTTGAGGGATGTTTGCCTAACCTTTTGTGCATGAAATTGAATTTGTTTCTTCTTCATTTTGTTTGTTGATTTGGATTTGAATATGATGTGTATTATTCGAACATGTTTCTGAACTTGATAACATGGTATATGGTACTTGATCGTTTGTGTTTTGTACCTTGCTTGAGCACCTCTTTTCTATTAAGAATGACTT